TATATATTATTTGTAAATAATAATATAAATATGATACAAATAATAATATAAATAATAATATAAATAATAATATAATACGAAATATAAATATGAAGATCTTAACTAATTAAAATATAAATATGTATTCTCAAAATTATTCAAAAGATTAAATGATAATTTTGATTAATAATTAATATAAAATTTCATTATACAACAATATATAGGACAAGTTACAAAAAACTTTACAAATATAAAGTTCAACATGCAAAATTTATTCAAATTAACAATTCTATATAATTAAATATATAATACTTTGATACACAACATGATATTATGCTAAATAATATCCTAAAAAAAAATATAAACAAATTATACTGAACAAAGTATGTAATCACTACAAGCAGATTTTCTGATAATTTCATAATTATCAAAAATATTATCAAAAATATTATCAAAAATATTATCAAAAATCACTTTACTAACTGGATAAAAAAATACAATTACAATTTATAGTTCAATGACCTATAATAACAACAATATCACTCTTTAAATCACATTTCTAATAATTTCTTTAACTTAGTTTCAAAATCTATTACAAAATAAAAAATTTAATTAATGCTAGTCAACATCTCATCAAACAAAGTCTCTGAATTTTCTGAAATAAAATATATTCTACTTAAGAAAGCTAGTTCTAAAACACACAATCTTCTAAAATATTTTTACAATTTCTGCATTTAATAGAGCAATATTTCTATCAAATAGAAAAATATACAAATTATACTTATATCCAAATTATATAAATAGGAAAGCAATTTTGATTATAATTACTAAATTATCAAGAATAATAGTCTAGTTATACATATTAGTTTCTCTAATTCTTATTGCAAAAAAAGATTCTTGAATTCACATTATTTTTTGAATGTGAAGTTGATTAATTGATATAAATAAAATAAGGTGAAAACTATATTTAGAAATTACATATATGAAAATTATCAAGAATACAGAATCATGTAATAAATGTAAATACATATATATATTCAGTTTATATGAATTACTATACTATATTTTTAAGAAACTTAATGTTAAAAAAGCATATTGCTAATATTTTTATTGTTAACCAAATTTTCAAAGTTACTAATAATTTTAAAGAGTATCATAAAACTCTTTGTATAGTACTATTACAAGTTTGTTCACTAATTGTAAATTAGCTTACAAACAAGAATCTAAATTGAGAGAAATTATAAACTGATAAAGAAAATATTAAAAGAAAAGAGAAATATTTAAGGCCTATGCCAATTTGTATTTACTTGAAAGAGAATAATAATATGGGAGAGTTATAAGAGAGTAAAAGTCAAAGAGAAGAGAGAATATAAAGAAATAATAAAGAGGATTCAAAGAGTGATTCTATACTTGTATAAAGCTTTCTAGAACTAAAGTAATATAATTAGTAATAACAATAACAAAGACTCTTTTACTTTTAAATAACAAAAAGTAAATACTTATAATTCAATTTCAATAATTTTTCAATACAGTGATTTGTTTAGCACAATATGATATAAAGTTCAAAGTTAATAATAGTGATTTGCTTAGTGCAATATAATATAAAGCTGTCAGTGATTTGATAGATTCAATACAATATAAGACCACTTATATACAAGATTTGAAGTGTATAAAGAAAATATAAGAGGTGAGAAATATTTGGAAGAAGATTTTTGTTAAAAGAGGTTTTTATTTTCAGTTACAACATGTTGAGTTAAGACTCAGACAACACCTCTATTTATATAGTTTTTAAAATTAAAAAAAGTGAAATGAAAATTATACAAATATATAAAAAGTGAAATAACTAATTATAAAAGTGAAAAGTGAAATATTGAAAAAGTGAAATAATAAAAGTGAAAAAATAAAAAGTGAAATAATATATATAAAAGTGAAAAATAAAAAGTGAAATAATAAAAAGTGAAATAATAAAAAGTGAAATAATATTATGGGATTTTACTATTATATGAATATTTTTGTGATATTCATGTTTTTCAATTATTTTTGAATTTGTGATTTTTATATTACTACTGTAACAGTACCCCCTCCCCCTGTAAAATACTTTCCAGTTTATGCACAGATATTTTTATGGTGCGTATTTTTATTTATAGATTTGTATCACTTAAATTAACAATGACGAGAAAAGAAACTATCCTCTATGTCTTAGCGTTAGAAATTACAATTTCGTCAGATATCTCACAACATTTAAATGAATGTTTAATTAAATTTGGCTCAAGAGACACCACGCAATTTCTACCCATTTAGCGAATAATGAATATGAAGGTTTTTTTTAATACGATTTGAAGGTGTAAGCTCATGAATTACTTCTGACATCCATTGATTATAAAGTGCACGGACCTTTAAATTAATTTTTAAATATGTATATACATAACGACAAAAAATCAAAATATAATAATTAAAATTTATATATGCCTTCATCTTAAAACTTTTGTTAATAGCAACCTTTAATGGTTGCAGTTTAGACGTTAGCCCTCCAGGAATTACAGCAAGATTTGTATTATTTTCAATAAGTTTATGTTTAACTGAATCAAAAATATGCACGAAAGGAATTAAAAACTAAAGGGAATATGGATTACTTAAAGGTAGTCTTTTAGTCCAAATATTACAACCTATCAAGAATTTCTTCATTAACCCAACCTTTTTCATTTACACGAATAAATACATTATTAGGCAAGCTTTCTCGAGGTATTTTTTTAGTTTAAAAATACAAACTGGAGGTAATTTTGTCCCATCGGCCATGCATCCAAGAACCACAGTGAAATTTTTTCTTTCATTACCCGTAGTTCGAAGGCTAATTGTGTGGGCGCCACGTTTATCGATTGTTGTCGGATTGGTAAATCAAAAGCAAGAGGAGTCTCGTTCATATTCCAATTGAAGATGAAGGGTAATTATATTGAATACGTTGATTTAAAATAAAAGTAAGAAAACTTGTTTTTTTTCTTGACGTCGGTTTGACAAATTAGATCGATCCAAAAAAACCATCAAGCCATCTATTCGAAAATTTAAAATTTTGTATATCCGATAGATTTTGGAAATCGATACTCCAAGCAAGTGAAAATGCCTTCGTAATCACCAATGTTTTAGTAACAAGCTTTTGTAATTGCCGTTGTTTATTAATCCATTCAGATAAGACTTCTAATTGTGGATATTTTGGTAATTTTTCTTTATGTAATTTAAAAGTCTCTTGATGTTTTATTCATCCATTCCCGTAATTGCTTGGGCTTGATATTAATTTTTACTTGTTTCACGAATAGAAGTTTCATTTTTATTTTTTTCATTATACATAATTTTTCTTGGGCATCAGATTCTTCGTGATTTTTTGTTCTACGTGCTTTTAAAGCAATTCTATTACTGATTATGACCATTTCAAATTAATATCTTCATCGAAAATGTCAAATATTTATATTTCTTCAGATATAAAGAACAATAAATTTTCTTGTGAATATAATGATACGTAGAGATTATTTAATACTTTGCAAAACAATAACGATAAAACCAGAGCATAATGATAAGAATTTTTAAGTATATCGCATACATAATAAGACTTTTAAATACGGCACAAAGAGTAGTTAAGAATATAACTAAATTAATCAGTTCTTTTGTTTAACTAGAAAAGATTCATTATTTGTAAAAATTACATGAGTTTCTTTGATTCAAATGTTGTGACGAGATTGTTATTTCTATACAAGTCTATAAATAAAAATATGTACCATAAAAATATCCGTGCATAAACTGGAAAGTACTTTACAAGGGGAGGGTACTATACAGGGACTCACGTAATTATAATCTGTGCTAGATTCCTGATCACGTGCACGCGATCAAACATAAAAATGTCGGGGAAGCAAATTGACCTTTAATAGTTGCCGGCACACATATGATTTGCGCATTCTTATTGGTTTGTTATCATGTGATCGCGAACCGAGCACAGATAATAATTACGTTAGGGGACCCCTTTCGTTTAACACATGCACGTGAGATTATATTAATACCTGAGATTTGGCCATCCCCCAGAATATTAGCTAATTAGCTAATATTTGTCACTTCCCAAATCAATGAATACAGATCAGATTTTCTCCACACACCTACTTTTGCTATAGACTTCATTTGTGTTGTTCCACAGAAAGCACTCTTTTTTTCTGTTGTAAAGAATATAATAATTTTGTTCATTTGGACAGAGTGTGTGAGAAACCAGCCTTAAGCTAACATTTGTTTTTTCGTGGAATATATTTTGACAGTCAAATATACTTTTTTACTTATTTAAAGACCATTCAAAAAATGGAAAAGACGCCAGAATTATCAAAACCACACCCGCCACAAAAGCAAAAGACAAGAGATCTACAGTTTACAAAACACAAAAACTACTCTTCATCAAAGAAAGATACAAAACTAGTTACAACAGACCTAGTGAAATCGTCGTCGTCCTCAAAAAAGAAAAAAGGTCGGCCCAAAGGTGGAGAATATGAAATCCCGGTTCAGACCTCCATTGCGGTGAAAATCCCCTGTGAGATCTTTATAAAAATTTGCGAATTCTTGCCCCCGGCAGCCTTGTTGTCTCTTACTCGCGTCTGCAGGTTGTATCGAGGATTTTTGTACTCTACCACGTCGTCATTGTCGCAACAAATGTGGACCACGTCCCGGATTAATTTTATGCGTACGTTACCGTTGCCACCGCCTGACGGAATGGATGAAATTGCATATATAAAATTGGCTTTGTTGGAGAGAGGATGCCAGTTTTGTCCGAGGAAATCAAAACCAAGAGTATATTGGGCTTTTCGTGTACGCTGCTGTCGAAAGTGTTTGAACTCGAAAACTCAAATGTAAGTTATCAATTGATTGTTTACTTACGTTCATTCGTACATCGATTAAATAATTAATGATTTAGTTTATGTTGTAATTAATTCATCAAGTGAGGAAATTGTACAAAATTCATCTCAGCATATACCTCATGGTCTTGCAATGAGGCTTCCTTACGCAATAGTAGAAGAAATTCGATATTTTTGGAAAGATGATGTGCAAGCTGCCAAACTGGAGTACAGCCAAAAATCTTCTTCTCGTGATCGACATTTGTTTCTCGACCAGCTCACCATAAAACGAGATGATAGAATGGAAGATGCGACCGCACGTGAAATTGCTGCTAAACAAGGGAGATCCGAGGAAATTGCAGAAAATAAAAAGAAATTACTTGGTCTAATTGAGCGCATGTCTCAAGAACTGCATGATGACGGGAGTCCGGTATATCAATTTGAGGCTCTTAAAAAGTGTCCGTCGTACCTTAGGGCTTCTTGTTCTTTAGATAAGCCTCTGGACTTCACATCGATAAGACATGACCTCGCTAAGGAGTATTATGAGATTATTACCGAAAGTGCGAGAAAGAAGAAACAAAGAAATTTATTACAACTAATAATTCTTCTTCGCACGTCATTGAAGGAAGCATATCGCTACGAGCAGTCAAGGAAAGCAGCAGCACGGGACCCGAACATCAGAGCAATTCTTGATAGACCATCTTCATCTACAAAAAAACACGCCGATCATGCTCTTGAGATTTTATTTCGTGTCACTGGTCAAAGAACCGATTTAGCCACGACATCAAATTATCGTTTTATGCAACCTCTTGATGACTGTGAAAAACTTTTGCGTTTTTGTTTTTCTTACAATTGTACTCATGAGCTGAACAGGTGGGATGAAAGTTTCTTCTTGAATACTTTGATCCCAAGACTCTGTCGCGAAGCTGCTTCAATCGATCAACAGTATCAACCTTGCTTCACTGTACGCAAAGCTCTTGCACAAGGATGGGCGACACAACGTGTCTTTAAATGTAGACTATGTTCAAATAGGAAGCAATTTGATTACACGGCCATTAAACAACACTTGCAAAGTTTGCGACATAATTTACAATCCTTCGAGGACGATAAAATGATGAAACTGCATTTAATGCATGGTATAATGTCCGATGGTCCCAGTAGTTTCTGGTTGGCTCATTTACCAATACCAAATATCGTCGATCCAAGAGATGTCATTGTCAAAGTCCGAATTTCTGGTCTTTGTCCCACAGATACTCAAAGTAGGCTTTATTGTATCTATTAATTATGCATTTGGATACAGTTCTAATAAATTTCTTTACTAATATCTGTTAAAGCATCTAAATCGGTAGTCGGTGAACTTGACAAGCGTACTGTAATGGGACATCAATTTGTTGCCCAAATTTACGATATCGGCCCTTCCGTTAAAAATTTCACTAAAGGAGATTTAGTAATGTGTCCCCCAAAGACATCTTGTGGAGAGGTAGAGAGAGTTTATTATTAATTGAAATCGAAAATCGAAAAAAAAATACTGTTAACATTGATTGAATATATTTATTAGTGTTTCTATTGTAAACGAGATATGACTTGTCACTGCGATAAAGGACAACTCTTTGGTTGGTCTTCTAATGGAAAGCGATTTGACGGTGGACAAGCCGAATACGTTCGCATACCCTACGCCGAAACATCACTATTCAAAATCCCATCGGGAATAAGTGAGAAAGAAGCTCTTTTATTGGCAGATTTCATCCCGGTTGGATTCTTTTGTGCTGAAAATGCAATGAATCAATTATCGGAAGAAGAAAAAGCGAAAAGCGTGGTAGTCGTAGTTGGATGTTCTCCTGTAGGGCTTGCCGCCATTGCATCGGCTATATATATGGGCGCCAAAAGAGTATTTGCAATCGATCGAACACTAGAAAGATTAAAATTTGCGCACGCCTTTGGTGCTACTCCAATTGATGCAGTCACCGAAGATCCAATGGCGATAGTAAGAAGAGCTACTGGTGGAAGAGGTGCAGATGTTGCTTTAGTATGTATCATTTAAATATATCTACAGTATGTTTTTTCCTAACTAATGTGATGTAATCTAATCCATTTAATAATTTATTCAGGTTGCAGACTTTGAAACAGAAATTGAGCTCTCTCTAAAACTTATAAGACCTGCCGGCATTCTATCAATCGCCACCATGAATTGTCAGCCTCTAATGGACATAACATACTCGGAGCAGGATCTGGTCACCATATCGAAACATTGTCCGATACGTAAAGTAATCCCAAAAGCTATTCCTTTAGTTAAATCAAAAAAATTTGACTTTGAAAGCATCATCACACACACACTTCCATTACGCGACGCTGAAGAAGGATACAAGTTGGTTGGCAGTAATCCGGATTGTTTGATGGTTGGATTTCTTGTGGCTGATCAATACCCAGAATTAATAATATAACGAAATAAAAAATCTGAAAAATAATACTTTAAAAGTTATGTAAATCATTTACTTTTATAGTTATATTAGAATGACCTAAAGATTGAAATTTTGGCATATCATTATCATTAACAAGGTCCCTTACCTCCGACGGAACATTTTTTCATCCTCCTCTGTCTTTCTTTTTCAATACCAAACACGTGTAGATTTTAATACAATTAAACTTTGACATTCAAGCTCAAATTATATAGAATTGCAACGGAACTTTGTCAATTGTCTTGAAAACTAAGTAAAAGACGACCAAGTAAGTATTTTAATTTTTTTCTAAATTAAGCAATCACAACATGATCGTAATATCAAAAAAGCAACGTTTTTAGTTCACGCATTTCCATCCATTACTTGATTGTTTACAGATTATTTTATTGAGACAAAATTGTTGAAATACGCGACCCAATATATTCATACAACATTAATCAATATGATATTTTTTCCCAATTATGATTTTGAACAAATCAAAATGGATTCTTTAACATCAAGTTTTTCATATTGTCCTATATATAAACTTCTACGTCATACATTGTTAAACATGACAGACACGGTAATTCGACTGTTAAAGGGATTGAAAGGCTTTCAAAAAGAACCGAACCCTGATTTGGTAAATTAACACCAGTTCTTTGCGGAGAAAAGGATATAGTATCTACCCTCTTACATACTCTCAAACTTGACTCTGCTTTAAAAATACAAATGCGATGAGTGGTTCCGTATTAACGTCTCAAAGACATATGCATCTCTAAACCAAACAATTAACAAATAAAACGTCACATAAAGCATTGAAAACCTAAACAAAAGCGGATTTACAATCAAATGGTGCCAGAACATTTAAATAAAATATTCAAAATATTATAGATAGAATCCACTTTGGAGTTTCAAGCTTTCAAAGTGAACAAATGTTTTTGGGACCAAAGCCATTTATATATGATTAATTTTTAGGTCGCATTGGACACCGAATATCATATGTACGTATCGGTCTTAGATAACAATTCATTAAAACGATTATTATAAACAAAATCATCCCAAAGTGATTAAAAATCGGAAATTTATTTAAACATTACTCGTATTAATCACTTTTTCAAATACATAGCGATAGCATAATTTCTTTCAATTATTCATCTAAAATGAACGAAAACGTGTCAGAAAATTGTTCTATGCAATGTCCATTTTGCTTTATCATGTAAATACAAATTGCGGTCACCATTGTTCAACAAATACACCAACTACCAATACAACAGCTTCATCCACCACAGAGCCGACACCAACAAACAGTGGTCGCGGCAACTTCATAGTCACGGAAATGTTATGACGATAATAGTGATCATCACGAATTACAAACGAAACACAAGACATTCAGATATCAATACGCCAGAAAAGCGAGAGCTGAAATTAAAGAACACGAACAAGAAGGCGATGAACATTTTGTTCCTCGTTCGGTTTAAAATAGCATTTGGCTCATTTATGCGGTATGTAAAAAACCCCCCCCCCAACATTGATACGTCGAAATATTCCTTAAATAATGAACTGCTCGCTAATCAGGTATTTTTTGCTTCAAATACCTGAAGTGAAGGAAAAGTTACGTTTACTTTTTATGATTAAATTATTCTATGGCTGCCCGCAGAACAATAGAACTATAAGAATATTTGCGAAATCTCAACTCTTCAATATCAGATAATTGTGTGACGAGTTAATAATAGGTGATCTTGATTTGTTGGAAGAATCGATGAATAAAGAAACAACCTGAGCAGCTTATCTTCCACTCCTCCGTCATATTATCCGTATTGTTGAACATTATCCGGTCTTCGTTTGTTCGATATTGAACCACAACACAATTTTGTAACCTGCCACATTCCTATTGAAACACCTGTATTTATATCGAGGTCACAATTCGGAGATTTGTTGAGACCGATTTAGTTAGTATCAGTATTTTAATGAATAAAAAATAAAACGATTATCGGACTTGAGAGATCTACGACGATAATGAACGGGTTGTGCAAAACAATATCAAAGATTTGGCGGATTCGTCATAAACAACAAAGTGACTAAAAAAGGTAATTTTTTTAAAACTGTTTTTTTAATGGTTCCGAACCATTGACATCGCTATATTTGGAATGTGATAAAAAATGACATAAAAATAAAAGAATATATGACTAATTATTTATATATTAGGTGTCTAATATTTAAATTATCAACAACATTCCCACCTCTCGAACTTTCCCAAAAAAAATCAGTATGTCAAACATCTGCAATATATACCGATACATCATGATGTTCTTTATATGCCAAAAGATTTCGTTGTATTATGTTGGGGAGGAGGAGAATTTGCCTAACTCTCCAAGGGTGGGAAAGTATCCCAGTAGATGTTTTATATAGGGTCACATTAATTTTGAGTAACGTAATGTAATGGCTTATGCATGCGGGGGATGCATCCAAACATCTTTCTATGCTATAGCAAATCGATGACATCATCCTCAGCTTGCAGAATACTAGGATACTATCGCTATTTGTCGTAGTTAAACAATTCTTCAAACCTATTATTATCGTTATATTTTTGTAAATACCAAGTTCGACAAATGATAAATAATAAATATTTAGGAGTTACACTTGCAGCCATTATATTCTTATCTTGGATTTTACTTTTTACTATACAAAGTTACCTTATTGTTCTCCAATTCTCGCCTACCCGATCTTGGTTTGGTTTTACTTTTTTTTACAGCACACACAGTGGTAAATTAATAATAACCGACTGTCTGGGGAACCATCAACGACTAAAACTTTCTTGAAGAACGGCGACTACTACGACTGTATTCAGTAGTGTATTGTTAGAAAATATAAAACCATATTTTATTATTTCTATTATACTTTCTTTACTATTGTCAGCCACCATAAGGCTTGTCCATCCAAGTCCAAGTTAGGTTTGTTTATACCATTTTTTTTCGCTTCTTTCTGTTCTTTTCAATATACCGAAAAAAAATCTGAAAAGTGATTTGGAAACAGAATTTGGCCCATTAGGATCTTTACGTGAAGTATCATGTTGCTAAATATATTTATTCTCATTCTACAGTCAATTAAAGATGTCTTCTCAAGAAGAACCTTCACCAAAAATCTTATCGCAATCTCTACCAGAGTCTACACATTTCCTAACGCAAAAACCAGATTCCGCTTCTTCCTCGTCACTTTCGTTATCACTTTCCAGATCCTCCATAGAGTCTGGCACCTCTTCTCCCGTACCATCTGCTTCCTCATCACCTGTCGACTCACCTACCCTAAAAAGTTACAGCCACCAACAAATCCAACAACAATATGATGACACAGTGGCAACGGCAAATCAACTGCCGAAACTAACGGCTGCTACAATACCATCCGAATTGATTCTTCACATCTTCAAGTTCATCACATCTACGTCTGATCTCAAGTCGTGCATCTTGGTATGCAAATCATGGTGTAGTTGTGGCGTGGAGATATTATGGCATAAACCTGTGTTTTCCGGGAATGCATTGGTCAAATTGCTCATCACGATATCTCGTCCAACTCAAACCTTCCCGTATGCACTGCTTATTCGACGACTCAATTTTTCTTTTTTAGGTGAAAATGTCAGTGACGCGATTTTGAGTCGTTTGAATGGTTGTGAACGATTGGAAAGGCTTACGCTTGGTGGATGTAAGCGATTGACGGATATCGGGCTTATTGGGTTGATAAATAAAGCTGAGGGATTAGTTGCTTTGGATGTATCAGATATCATGAATTTGACCGATGCTGTTGTCGAATTAGTGGGACAAAGATGCCGTCGATTGCAAGGACTGAATGTCAGTCTTTGTAAAAAGATAACTGACACGGGTGTTATTGCTGTGGCTTCACGATGTCGAAGCTTAAGAAGGGTATGTTCTTTTTCTACCCGATTATCTATATGGAAAATGACTTACAAATATTGATAATACAATTTAATCGATTTATTTCATTTTTCTTTATAGATTAAATTAAGCGGGTGTGAAAATGTTACTGACAATTCTATTGTTCTTCTCGCCGAAAATTGTCCTCATTTACTGGAACTTGATCTCACTAATTGTAATCAGATCACCAACAATGCTATCCAACCAGTCCTTGAAAGATGCGCGCAACTACGAGAACTCCGACTTAACAGTTGCACGAATTTGACTGACGAAGCGTTCACAAAAAGCATGCCTTCCTTCTTTGAGCAATTGCGAATTCTCGATCTGACTTCTTGCGCACTAATTACCGATCAGACTCTGTTGAAAATTGTGTACAGTGCACCTAAACTACGTAACCTTGTATTGGCGAAATGTGGCAATATCACAGATGAAGGAGTAAATCACATTACTCGATTGGGTAAACACTTGCATTACCTTCATCTTGGACATTGCTCGCGTATTACGGATCACTCCATCACAAATTTGGCTCGCCATTGCACACGCTTACGCTATCTTGACTTGGCTTGCTGTGTTCAGCTCACTGACGCTTCTGTCCATGAACTTTCTCATCTACCGAAGTTAAAAAGAATCGGATTGGTAAAATGTGCCAATATTACCGATTCAGCAATATATGCGTTAATAGATCACCGTGTGGTTGCTCATACGCTTGAACGTGTACACCTTTCTTACTGCATCAATCTCACTATAACTGCAGTGCTGGAACTAGTGAACTGCTGTTATCGGTTAACACATCTTTCGCTCACTGGTGTTCCTGCTTTTTTACGGTCAGATCTACAAAGATTATGTCGGCCACCACCGAAAGAATTTAATCAGCATCAACGCCAAGTGTTCTGTGTCTTTAGCGGAAAAGGTGTTAAAGAATTACGACAATACTTGAACAATGTGGCTACTGGCTCAGTTCGACCTCGTATAACCGACGGTGGCCCTGATGGTACCGATAATGAGCTTAACATCACAAATGTGGGTGAAGGTGACGATTTAGGGTTGGACGACTTGGATGCCGAAGGAACTGGTTCTGGCGGCGAAGGCGAGGGAGAAGGCGAAGGAGATGGAGACGGAAATCAACTTCCGCCATATAGGATAGAATAACCAAGACCCGTGGAATAAAAGTGATCACGTTACAAAATGAAGTTATAGGATGCAAACGTCGTTGACGACGATGGAGCAAATTTTGCTTTGTATGATTTACCCGGACTATAAGCTTACAATAAAATAATTATTTCTTTTTACTTCTTTTTATAATTATTACTCCTCTTGTTTTTTTACCGTCCCTTATATATTATTAATTGAAAATTTCCTGTACTTTACGGTGACTTGATATTTATATATAGATGAATCCCTTTTTACATTATTATATATAGCATTTCGCAAATTTTTTTTTAAGATTATGCAAGGTTTGTGTGGGCCGTGATGATTCTGTGGGGTCACGCAAAATCGTTTTTTATTAGCATTATATATATACCTTTCAAAATTTTATTTTTTGATAGAACATCATCTCCTTTCGTTTGCAAAATAAGCGAACAATTATATATACAATATTTTTACATATACTTAAATTTTATTTTTATATCGTTTTTTTATTTGTAAATCTTTTTCTTCTTCGACAATAGACAACAATTACAACCATTAAAACAGCTGCAGCATAGCTTCAACACACACGTTTAGAATATTTTTCTCACATAAAGCAATTAATCGCATTGTTCGATTCCCTCCCATCAAATTCCAAAATTTCCGTAATAATCATACTCAATCAAGACCAAGTATCGCTTTTTTTAGTATATAACTACAGACATTTGGTTAGGAGATAGTCATAATAAAAAAATATATATTCATTTATAGAGCTTTTTCATTTGTGGAAATTTTAGAAGATATGGGTTATACATCCCCGCTAATCTTTTCCTAGTTCTTTTATATATCCCCCGATCCACAGGTTTTAGGCATTAATTTATATGATATCAGAAAAATCTGATCAGTACGAGTCGATCATTGGCAAAATCATGGTAATTTCTTTAAACTTCTGGTCGTATTCAGTTTGATAATACATTATATTTCTTATTCTTAATAGAAGAAATAGGTATGTAATGAGTCTTAGCTCGAGTACAAGATTCAATATCACCGTCACGTCTTTGCTAGTATTAGAGATGCAATTGGTATAACTCATTAGTCGCTTGGATCTTGTATAAATTTCTAATTATTTTTTATTCAAAAGATCTACTCAAAATTCTATAAATTACCACCATCAAGGTCAGACTTTGAAATTTCTTAACGATTCAAACTGTAGTTTTATGACTTTATATTTGTTATTCATTCGAAATATTTATTAATTAGATCTCGTAATTAATATGGAATCTGAAACCTCTTGTCAACACACTCTTCGGACAGGGCCGGATCGACCTGGCTTGGTTGTTACTTTTTATTATCATGGTCAGATTTACGAAATCGAAGAGCCGCTTCGGGATGAACTAGGAGCTCTAGTTGCAAAGCTAATTGAGCATAATAATGTTATTGATGGTGACCATGATAATAACTGATCTATTTGGAAGTAGATGGTTGAGGTGAAATTTTCGATATCGATCTTCGATAAATCTGTCAGTACCCAAAAAAGCAATAATTCTAGAAAATTCTTTCTACATGTATGAATTTTGATGGAATAAAAATTTTTGAATGCTCCGACAATGTTGTCTCGAAAATGCCGCTCCATGAAAATTGACTCTTGTTGCGTATTATTCCGCTCGTTCGTGAAAAATTATCATCACAAAAGATTCAATAAATTCACCCAAAACAATCTCGTAACGATATCTCGACGTTGTTCGATTCCATTTAGGAAAGATTTATCTCGAAAAAACCGTTATGGTTCGATATCACAAGAAAATCAAAAAAATTCGCCAGACTCTCCGCCTCCAAGCCACTTTGATCCTACCACCCAACATGTGTTTAGGTCTATTAAACGTGGTTTCAAATACATGGTGATAGGAGCTGCCTCGATAGTTGCTATAGGTTATTTAACGGTGCGTGGTGGTCACTTTTATGTGGAACATTTTCACTGTGCCACTCCATCCATGTTACCCTCGAAAGCGCGTGATTCTCTTCGTTGGGCATATCTACGGGAAGAAATAGATCCTGATCTAAATATGGCCCAATCACATTTAAACCAAGCTTTACTTATCGCTCAAGAACAAGCGGACTTACCGTTGACACATCCAATAATAGTTGAGATCGTGCTTCGAATAGCAAACAACTCTGTAAGGCTGGGGAATTTGTATGAAGCGAGATTAGAATATCAAAAACTTTTACAAGCTTTAACCATGGCTGGAGGTGATGAAAATATTAAAAAAGCGATTGATGTTGTGAGGAGAATGTCTAAGATATGTATAACGATGCAAGATTACAAAAGCGCCGAGAAATATTTAGAATGGGCGATTGGAATTTTGACCGCCGGACAATCGTCGATTATTAACAATTATAGATACATCAACTTGGATTTAGTTCAATGTAACTTGATGCTAGCTGGAATATTTGCTAAACGAGAACAATTCGAGAAAGCACTTTCATTATATTTGGGCACATTGAAAAAGATAAAACAACAACTACAATCGTCCTCATCGCCGGAAAATACCGACAAAGATTCCAATAAAGATCACGAGATAAATTGGAATTGTTGGGAGGGAATCATAATGGGTCATTTAGGCGAGATTTTTTACGCGATGGGAAAAGAAGACGAAGCTCTCGGTTGGCTACAACAAGGATTGAAGATAGCTAAGAGTGGTGTTGATGATGATAATGTTGGCGAAAGAAGAGACTGCGACGAATGTGCCGGTGTAATTTCAAATAATCTTGGATTAATATATGAAAAAGATGGAAAACTGTGGAATGCGGGAGCATTTTATACACAAGCTTTTTCTTTTGCAGAAAAGGCCAATGATTTAGAAGGGTTAGAAGAGGCGTCGCGTAATTTGGAGAGAATAGGAAAAGAGCTTGAAAAAATTGACAATGAATAATGAATGAATATGACAACTATAAATCATCTATGATACCGTTTATTAGATGTATTTCGGTTTCGTTGCTTAGCATCTTTTATACAAAGGAAAAAATATCTCTTCTACCTTTACACAATTTTGACAACTAGCTTCACTCGTGATTTGTATAACCCAAAATATATTTTCTTGTCTCGAGAGTTTGCGATGGATTTACAGTTTAAATAATAATTTCTATTTCTTAATGTAATCTTCGTCGAATTTCATATCTTTGTATTCTCCCTCTGTAAATTGTTTTGACCACTTTATGTGAAATTCAATGATTAATAATGTTTTTGAGAGGGAGGGGAGAAATATATAATTCGCTGATAAAAGCTTACCATCATTGAAGGAATCCATTTTCTAGGTGGTCTATAACGTACCTTCATGATTTATCAAGTTAATTAACAATCGATGGATCCAACCATGATCAATCGAATCGAAACATTAATACCTCTTTTTCGGCCGATATTTTCCAAGTGAGGGCACAGATCATCAACATTCCTGTCCCAATGATTGCGGTATTAGATTTCCAGTTTGCTGGTCGACTCCACCAACCACCAGCTATATGATGAACAGGGTAAACTTAGTTGATTTAATTTTTTTAAGTTTATTCTATCCTTTACCTGGGGACCTATAGAACAAGACGATTAATATTCGTTAAATGTAATTAAACATGACTCGGTAGAAACTCACCAAACTTCCTTCGGATATGGATAACGTGGACCTCCACCCTTTTGGTTTATAAAAAAAAATAGTTAATTCCCACAAGCGAGAAATAGATTCATGTGCATATAGTCATACCATTCTGTTAAATTTTTGAAAGTTGAAAAATTGTCACGTAAATTGATATTTCGTTTTGATCTACAGGATTCAATGATGCTTCGTTGCAAGATCTTTAAGGCATTAAGGATCCACCGGGGTTCTTTAGACAGAGCCCAAGTTAAAAGTGAACCTTGTTGAACAAATCGGCTCTGGATTTACTAGCTGTAGTTGCTGATTGGTTCCTCCGTGGATCTTTATAACACGCGTATGGACAAAATGATGCTCTGCATTGCATAATGTCGTGACTAATTTCACCTGACATTTCTCGCTCTGTTTTTGTTTTTTTTGTTTGCAATACAAACAATAAGGTAGTAAGCACAACCACTAATCATTGAATCGTATATAAGAGGGTTTTATTTTTCTTTTAAGTACTTAAAAAAAGTTTTATTTTATATATTTTACATAATATATATATATATATATATATACATTATATTCTATTACTTTCTCACTCGCTTTCTCTTCATCCTTTTCTCACTCCCTTTCTCTCTTTAAAAAATACAACAATAATAATATCTTGGCATCGACCAAAGCTTCTACAAACTAAAAAGAAACTAGATATTTACTGAGTATAAAAATGAGTGGTGAATCAAGAACCGAGTTGCTCGCATGGATCAACGATTTGTTGCAAATAAACTATACAAAGATCGAACAAATGGGGACAGGTAATTTCGTAATCTTCGCATTCACGCACTTATCATTTAAAATGGGTGATGCAAGAGTTTTTTTAGATGGGAGACCACTTGTCACGGTAGCCAGTGATTTTTTCGATTGTTGTTTCTAATTTTTCGATTGATTAATTAGGCGCCGCTCATTGTCAGATTTTTGACTCGATATTCGGTAAGTATTATTTGGAACTTGAAGCAACATCACGCATCATTGTTTGACTATCGATCCATTATCTACCCGTGTGTTTATTTAAATAGGCGATGTTCAAATGAACAAAGTAAAATTCGTGGCAAAACATGAGTATGAATATGTGGCAAATTTCAAAGTGCTGCAAAATGCATTTGATAAACACAAAATCGACAAGGTATGATCCTATTCAATAAATTATCATTCTGCCTTCTATTCTTGTCTAATCATTTCATTAAAAAAAAAATAGATGGTCCCAGTTGAACGTCTCGTTAAATGCAAATTCCAAGATAATCTTGAATTCTTACAATGGGTGAAGAAATATTGGGACACCTTTTATCCCGGTGGTCCTTATGATGCACTTGCTAGAAGAGGTCCTGGAAATAATCCTTCCAAAACTGTCACTGGTAGTGCAGGTACCTCAAGGGTAGCCCCAAAGAGAGCAACTGCTGCTGCCGGTGGTGCCGCTCATCATGCCGTTAGCGCCGTTGGTGGTAAATGTATTTATATGTAATTCAAGCTTGCTGCTGTTAACATTTAAGGTTAACTATCAGTAGCAATTAAATAATAATCATGTCATTTTTCTTTCCATTAAAAAACAAGCTTCAAGTAGTTTTGATCAAGTTCAAATTCTGGAACTGAATAAACAAGTTGAAGAATTGAAAGTCACGGTTGACGGACTTGAAAAAGAGCGCGACTTTTATTTTGGAAAATTGCGCGACATTGAAATTCTTGTGCAACAATCGATCGAAGAAGCACCAGACAATCAACTATTGAAAGAGATTCAAGCTATTCTGTACAGTACAGAGGTGAGTAATTGAACCTTTTCTTTACTACTATCATTTTTATTAATACGATTTATCTTAATTTCAATTATTTTAATAATAAGTTTGATGAATAAATGGTTCGATTTATTTTGAGGGTTGGGAAGCAAGATCCCTTTTTAATTTTAGTCTTTATATATATTTATTTATTTAATATTTGATATTTGAGAGAGAATCATTTACTATGAACGTGTGATTTTTGACTGTTGTTATCATTATATATCATGTGATTGTTCTCTACTAGGATGGTTTCGAAGTTCCACCAGAAGGTGCTGCTCCGGCCGAGGGAGAATATGAAGACGAAACATTCTAAGAAAGGATTCGTGTGTTATTTTCTACTACTATTACATTACATTACATTACACTACACTATTACTATTACTTTATATTACCACATATACACATACATTATCGGGATCGTAGTTATTTGGTAAAAAAGTTATCCTTACCACTTTTTTTACTACTACGCACAAAACGCACGCCCACACACACACACACGCACACATATTACGGAATGAATTTTTATAGACAAAACTTTCTTTTTTACATAAAAAAATAATAATAATAATATTTGTCGAATTTTTTTTGGAGACGATTTTTTTATTCGAGATGATCTGGTTATGGTATATTACTATTGATGAGGTTTGATGATTTAGACGTTCAATTGTTTCTTATCAATAAAAGTTTGGTCAAATTATAATAATATCGGTCAATGCGAAACTTGCATTATATTCATTGTCACATCGCCATTGTTGTTGATGATGATGATGATGTTGATGTTGATCTTCATTTCTCATCCAATTGATTGGAAAATACATGGCACACGCACAAACACCAAAAAAAAAGGGCTATTTGATGTACATGATGATCAATTTAAATTGTAACTGCAATTGCAATTGATAGTAGAATAGAAGCAACTCGAATATTATCACCATTGCATCAACATTCACGTCTATTCATACAGATACATATATTATACTTGAACGATATATGATCTGTATATAAAATACAAGTCTGAATTTTTTGTTTAATTTCACACTTCCTCATCATCTATCTCCTTTTTGAAGAAGTTGCTTCTATTCCCCTCGAATACACTTCGAGCTGATAGATAATTCGAGGGACTTCTTTTCCAACCTGGCACGGAATAATTAATTGCTTGACAAATATTTGCGCTATTATTAAAAAGGAAATAAGCTGATAAGAAAAAAATTTCAATCTGAACTAGGGAATTGTCTTGTCTACCTGAGTGACTGACAAGACAGAAATCGTCGTGAGTATTTTTTTCTTTCTCGGAATCGTCACGCGTCTACCTTCTGTACGCTTAACAGCCGTACACACACAACAAGAAGCAACAGACGGTCTCTGCAGATATACCGCTTTGCCTTTTTAGTTTTTTGTATCTTTTTACGATTTCTCAATAACTTTCGAACCCCAAACTCTACAAAGAAACCAATAGCAATAACAGCCACCATTGTGTCCGCGTCAATACTCATTACTCACACAAAAATACACGTGCGCACACCAACCAACAAGTAAATAACTCATTAAGAAGACGAGTAATAAATGGCCGAGGGAAACAAAAACAAACACGAGTGGAAATCTCTGGGCACAGGCCCACTAGAACCGGACCTCAACAAACGCGAGTGGGCGGCTGTTCGTCGTCGATACGAGTGGAGCGAGTCTTACGAGGAGGGTATTGCTCCGAAAGATGAGGAACTCGAACTCGAATTGTTTGGTGAAGAGAATCACGTGCTCACGGGTCACAACTTTTCAAAGTACGAGGAGATTAAGGTCACTGTGAAAGGAAGTGATATTCGACCGGTGGAATCTGTATGTTATTGCCATGTTTTATCTTTGATAGGCTTAATTCCTTGGAAAACTTTTGATCGCCCTAATTGATTTATTGGACATTTTAGTTTGAAGAGGCTAATCTTCATCCCCAAATGAAGGAAAATGTGGCACTGGCTAGATATGAAAAGCCTACACCTGTTCAGGTATTATACTACAATCAATTATCATTTTATTAGGGTTATATCGTTAATTTAATTGTCCAAATTCTATTCTTGCAATTAGAAATGGTCAATCCCTATGATCACTGAAGGTCATGATTTAATGGCATGCGCCCAAACAGGTAACCGTCAGCAAACATATATATAATAATCAATGCTATCTAACACTCGAACTTGTCATATAAATTCGACAGGATCCGGCAAAACTGCCGCTTTCTTGGTCCCAATATTATCGAGATTATTCGGCAAAGCAAAGAAACTAGCTGCCCCACGTCCACCGCCCGGTAAGACTCGTGGCTACAAAGCGCAGCCACTAGTCTTAATATTGGCCCCAACTCGGGAACTAGCGACGCAGATTTTCGACGAGTGCCGTCGATTCACGTACAGAAGCATGCTGCGACCCTGGTTTGTATTTCGTGTTGATTTTTCCTTGGTTTATACGGTCTGGCGAATTTTCTTATATTTTAGAATTTTTAATAAATTTTCTAGCGTTGTTTATGGTGGTGCAGATGCTGGCCCTCAGAGACTGGAGTTGTTTAAAGGTTGCGATATCTTGACGGCTACTCCTGGGCGTTTATGTGATTTCGTGGAAAGAGGAATTATTAGTTTGAGTAGAGTAAGGTAAATACACTATACGTCGATGATAAATTTACCAATATTATTGGATACAGTCATTTATTAATTTTACCCCCAATAAATACAAACAAAAAGATATTTGGTAATTGACGAAGCGGATCGCATGTTGGATATGGGTTTCGAAGATGACGTGCGAAAAATCGTCTCTAAATCAGGTCAATATTTTCTTATGAATTTAATAATTACTATAATAAATAATGGTTTTTAAAGACTAAGCTCACGAGTATAAACAATTATCGGAACAAATAATAGATATGGACGATGTCGCCCGTCAAACTTTAATGTTCTCTGCCACTTTTCCGAATCGAATCCGGACACTCGCAAAAGATTTCTTACAAGACAAACACTTGTTCTTGACTGTCGGTCGTATCGGAGGAACGACAAGTGATATAACTCAAAAGGTGGGGGTATAAATTAATTAATCGATTGTTCTGAATATGCCACAACATTATATCGTGTCAAGAAACTCGTTAATTTTGAAATGATTGAAATCCATATTTAAAATATAAAGATTATATTTTGCGAAGAAACCGATAAGCGAAACACACTCGTTCAACTGTTGTTGACACAGCCACCGTCTCGTACGTTAATATTTGTCGAAACTAAGCGAGGAGCAGACTCGCTCGACGCTTTTCTCTACAACCAACATTTCCCTACGACTTCTATTCATGGAGATCGTACCCAACGTGAAAGAGAAGATGCGTTGATTGCTTTCAAGTACATTTCTTTCATCGAGATAAACTTTCAAGTTCCTCTTTCCTTATACTTTGAATGGTGCCATCGTAATTAATGTTATTCGTGTCTAATTAATTACCTTAGAAATGGACGATCACCTATTCTTATAGCAACAGCAGTCGCAGCTCGGGGTTTAGACATCAAAAATGTCATGCACGTTATTAACTATGATTTATGTAGCGATATTGACGAATACGTGCACCGTATTGGACGGTAACTTTGTTATCTCTTTGCTATCTGATAGACAAATTCTGTAAAAAAGAATGATCCTCAAAAAAAAATAAAAAATTGCGTCCCCAGAACGGCTCGCGTTGGTAACCAAGGTCTGGCAACAACCTTCTACAACAATTCCAATGAGGCTATTGCAAGGGACTTGGTTAGGCTTCTTTTGGAATGTGAGCAAGAGATTCCAGATTTCTTTAAACAGTATGCTGATATGTAAGTGAAAGTTATACTTTTTGAATTGCGTAAAAAAATTATTGTCGAGATTTTCTTTGGTTTGTTTATTGATTAATTAAATGTTTTTGTTAATTTGTTGAATTAAAGGAGATTTAATGATGACGATGATGATGATACATATAACAACAGCACGTCATACTCAAATCATGGACAGCAACCAACAACAGCCTCTTGGGACAATAGCAACACTAATAACAATAATACACAATCCCAAAATTCATGGAGCACGCCTGCTACTAATAATAACAATAGTAGTCAACTCCAGAGTTGGGAGGCTCCGAATAATACTAATAATAATACTAGCAACAATTACGGCGGTCAATATCAGACTTCATGGGATCCAGCACCGCAACAACCAGCAAATCAAACTCAGGATTCTTGGAGTGGTGGTCCTCCCTCCTCGGCACCTTCTAATAATTTTTCTATGCCTGGACAAAATTGGTCATCATCTCCACAGCAGCCAAACAACACTAATAATAATACTAATACATATCAACAAAATTATCAGACACAAGTGCCGACCTCATATCAACCACCACCACCGCCAGGTTCCTATCAGCAACAGCAACCGCAACCGCAACCTCCCTATCAACAACAACAACAACAGCAAGGAGGGTATATGTCGTCACAAGTACCTCAGCAACATCCTCCATCTAATTCACAGTCGCAGTATTCATCGCAGTCGCAGCCACCGCAAACACAACATCCTCAATTTCAACAATATAATCAAACTGCACCACAACAGCCCCAATATCAGAACACGCCGCCTCAATATCAAAACGCACCCCCTCAATATCCGCAACAGTCATCTTCACAGAGTATGCCATCGCAGCCTCAATATGGAGGTGGACCAATGCCAGGTACGCCTCGGTGAAGGATAAAAAAATGGTTTTTGAGAACGTTCATTAATTTGAATTTTAGGTTCTCAAACATTTGTTAATGTGCACAATGGAGAATAAAATTTAAATTTGAACAAGATAATTTATCTTAATAATATAGTTAAATTCAAATTAATATTTGAAACCATTTTTGACATCTAATTACATCCAAAATAATTCAATATATTACCACATTCCCAACAAAATTATTCTAAAGGCGGAGGCTATAATAACAATAACGGCCAACCACAAGAAAATCACAATAACAACTATAACGCAAATGGAAATAACTCGTCGTATAGCAACGGAGAATCTAAGGTTCGTATGGGATCCCCTAGTAAAAAGGGTAATAATAATAGTAGTAGTAGTCCAAACCGAACAACACGTTCAAAGTCTCCTAAACACCACCGTAATCGATCACAAAATAGGTTGGAGGCGTCGTGAAGGCCGATGAAGGCTGGGGTGTTGTTCCCTCTGTGGTCCAAAACGGAAATAGCTGGTAAATGAAATATCAACAATGATGAGCAGATTCCGAGGTATAATAATCAATATCATCATCTTTACTTTCGTAAAAAAGAACGCTTTACATATTCTCTCTTTATACGCTTAATTCTAGTCAAGCTTTCAAGTATTAATTATTGTTACAATTATCATTTATATTTCTTTGTTATGTGATTGATTGATAGTTGATTGGTGACTGTTGATTGGTATTATAGATTTTTATTATCATTATTGCTTTCTTTACTTTTAATTCTTAATTCTTTTTATTGACATGGAAAACTTAAGTTTCTTTTCGAAATTGTAGGTAGTAACGAAATTATCGTAGGAAGCTGTATTCTAGATATAGATAGTACACCAACCATTAATTTTTCTATTATTGCTACCATTAATATTATTTTACAATTGGTTGAATAAGAGTGCAATTTTTTGCTCTTTATTTTTTTATTGGCGACTACAGACAATCTCTAACGCTAACGTGTAAAATTAGTTATGCGAAGCATCTTGATGGCTACCAAAAAAATGAAAATGATTTCGATTTCGATTTCATTTACTTGCTAATCTGGTAATGTAATGCAATGCATTTAGCATATGTTTGTTCGTACTGTTGTTTGCAATCAAATGAAAGAGGAACAAACAAAAAATTTTACGACATTGTCTTCTTGTGCATACTAAACTTGTGACGGGCGATACAATGGAATCATTATACAATATATCTCAAGAAAAATAAAACCTTCACACAAGTAAAGCTACCCGCATACTATGATAAACAGATACCATCATCCGTCGATATTTTGGATTTTAGCCAATTTTCACGCGTAAAAGCACAGCTATGCTCTCAACAGACTTTTTTTGGTACATGTATTCTCGTCCTCGGCATGTGTGAATTTGATGGTAAACGTAAATAGCTAGTTTCTTTGAAAAGTTGAACCTTTATAAGGAAATACTGCGGAGTAAAAACAAGAATTTTCGATAGACTTTTGTGTAGACACGAAATTCAAGTGATACACGTCACAAGAATGATTTAGAGAAAATTTTTTTCGGTTAAGGCAAAATAAAATGGCATGTTTTACAAATAAATATATCTTTTTTTCGCGTAGAATATTTAATCAAGGTAAGAAAAAATATCGTATATGTTTTGTAATAACAAAAAGAATGATGAACTCAGATATAGAGTCAAGCACTGACTAATTTGATGAAAGATCACTACAAGTCCTGAAAAATAAGATGAATGATTTCTCAAGTTTTTTAACGATTTTTTACTTACCGAATTTTTTTGTTCGTCAAGTTTTCTTGACACTCATTCAAGATTTTTTAAAGAGGCCGTCAAGTCAAGAATCCATCCCATCATCTCACTTCTCTCGAGTACAGATTACACTGTAATTCTTTATTTTTTAGGATGTATTTTCAAAATAGATACTAAAGATCTTATAAATAAGATAAAAATCAAATTTTGCATACATTTCGACGATAAATTAGTAGTAATTTTAATAAAAGATAGTAACTAGTAAGTAGACAAAACATTATTAAAGAAATCAAAATCATACTTTTATAAAGCTTAAGATTGTGCCGTAGTAATTCAATAATAAATAAAAAGAAATGCAAGTGTTTGAAAGGAAAAAACAAATCGAATATACAAAAATGCTTTATTAACAAAACTAAGATCAGAATTTGTATAATAATAATAATAATAATAATAATAATAATAATAATAATAATAATAATAATAATAATAATAATAATAATAATAATTATCGTAAGACAAGATAATAAATTTGTTTTCCAGGAGGAGAAAATAAGAGTTTGTAGGGAACTAGTCAGCTAGTATTAATTGAATATGTAATATGTAAGATTCGCTTTTCTTTACTTTAATCCAAAACCTTCACTTTCTTCGATAGCTCTCTGTAATTTTGACTGTAATTTATGTCGAGATCTGTATCGATAAAGACACAACTGATTGAAACATGTATGAGCGATAGGAAATCTAAATCATTCAAGTAAAAAAAAATATTAATAAAAAATCTTATGTTTTTTAAGATCCCACATTTTCAAACTATTACCTTTCACTGTCCTCTCCCAAACAGGATATCTTTAATGCTAGATTCGCTAATCCAGTTGCTGGAATTCGATCAGTTCCCGTCACGAATGTCAACAACTTTCGTTGCATTATGGGATCCATTAACTTGAAAATGAACCAGAAATTTTTGATAATTTCTTCGTCCTCACGAAAACCTTCGTACACAGTGACGGCCCGCAATTGTTCTATTTCCAAGGGTTCCGCACTGCCGCGTACTAGCAATTCAATCTCTTCTGGTTGGAAAAGCTTTTTTATATATTTGGATATTAAGATTAATAACATTATAATTAATTGTAATGTCATCATTATTTTCAACTTACAGACAATGCATTGCCACCACAAACATGATTGAACCCTCGTTTGAAAGGTTCAAATTGTTTTGAAATAGAATCATTCAGAATAAAATTAACATATCGATCCACGTAATCTGGAAAGTTTAGAAATAATAATAAGTGAGAAACTTATTGCATACAATAATACCACATAGAAATTTAAAATGAAAATTTACCTTTCCGATTAGCATTTGTCACTGGTTTATTTTCGCCACCGGATACCAATGGGATCCGTTGTAACTCGCCAAATGCTTCATATTCACCAATAAAATCACGACAAAACGTTGTTTCTACATCACCATCAAATGTGAGCAGTTTATCTAATCCTCGTGCAAAAGCCTAAAACATTAATAAATTTAATAATTATACACATCATCACTGAACTCGGAAATTGGCAACAAAAAAAACTTACAGGACGAAAAACTTTTAAATCCTCTAATCCAACCGGGCAATTAAATAGTTTTTTATAACAAGCCAATGGGAAATGTACATCCAATATTGTAGAATTATATATAGCCAAGCCTATGACAACACCTACAAGGTAGTATTGATCGCTTGTCTCGAAACTAGCTGGATTAAACCAGCAAAGATTTGAATCTTCGTCCCATGTGAACATCCCTATATATAATATAATTATTACATTAGCGATCCAAAATCTACAGCATGATATCATAATCCAAAAAAAAATAAATCACCATAGCGTGGATCAAACAATTCCCGTACTAATAATAAAAACCACTCTTTTCTCAATCCACCAGCATCAACTCCATCTTCCCCGACAAACTCAATTCTTAATGATTTCTTTAATTCCATTTCATTGGCAGCAATTTGGTTCAAAGAGTCTTCAATTAGAAAATCTCTACGAACTCTTAAAATAAGATGTGGCGCCGTAACTCGTTTTTGAAAAAGAATGGTAAAGAATGCTTCCTAAAAAGACAATAAGTTGAAGAAAGTCAACAATCCGATCTGCTCTTTTACGAAATTTCGTATGCAAACGAGAAAATCGGTCGTACCTTCGCTTTCGTTTCCATCTGCCGCTTCGCATCGAATTCCATTATATTGATCTTTCCACCCATGCTTATTAAAAAAGGATACTGACAAAATGCAAACTTGCTATAAATAATGTAAATATAGAATTAATATTAACAGTTGAGGTTGATTTTTACTATAGAATAGAGTGTACAGTTTATTGCATGTGCAGAATTTGCACAAATCTGTTGCGATTTGCAAAATTCGCAGAATTTGCAGAATCGGTGAGACTTATCTGCATAATGGTATAGATATAGTAGAATGTCCAGCTTACTGCATTTTTGCGCAGTAATTTACTGCGTGTGACGTTTGACCAATAAATATGCGAATCATACAAAGTCGATTCGCATATTTAAATATTTTTTATATGTCAAGCGCATTTGCAGTAGATTACTGCGCAAAAATGCAGTAAGCTGGACACTACCATAAAACAAAAGCCTGAACTTTACCTTGATCTTTGTTCCCATGTGTTAAAATCTGCTATTAATTCAATATAATCCACCAAAGTATTGTAGAATTCTGACAATGGAATTTTGAATACCTGTTTATTGGCGGCAACTTATTTTATATAAATTGGAAATAGAAATAAGTAAATTCGAAATTTTAACAATACGCAATACTCGAAGACAATTATCGAGATTATTTAAATAGAACTTATGCAAATTAATAATGATAATATAAAAATACAAAAGAAATACACACACAACAATGCCATAACTCTAGCAGCCGAGCTAATTCTCCAATCAGTTTCGTACGCAGGCGACAAGACTGTGTTAGACGTCTGTGTTCTTTGTTTTGACAGCCGAAAGGAGATAAAGGCATTGACTAAATCTACTCGTCTCCGAAATATATTCGTTGGATGTCTAAAATAGTGGCAACGTATAAAAATATGAGCAAAGAAATATGTAAAATTATTTCAACGAGCCATTAAAGAGATAAACTTCACCGTGCAAACCAGTTTACTAGGTAATGATGAAGTTCATTGCTAAGATTCGATAAAAGACCGAATATACGTTTTACTATGTTGTGGTGGTATTGAGACTCTTGTGGGAAATTGTGTTGGGACAGTAGAGGATTCTAAATTTAATGCAAATGTTATTAAGTACAGGACAATGACGTGAATCTATATAGAAAAAAATAGTCAATATAAAATTACCTCAAGTATAATCATCAAAAACTTGATATCTTCTTTTTTTTTTAATATTCTGAAATATTCGGACCATTCGGAAAGAAAGTCAGTTATAGAAGAATTATAACACGAATTGTCTCGATTCAGAATGGAATAATTACCGCCCGGGTCGTTTTAATATACTTTCAATAGACTTCATCATTGCTCTTATTATGCTGACTGGCTGATAGGAAAAATTCATGCATTCCCGTTGAGTATCCAATAAAAAACTTAGAAAATAATTCCTTTATACCCTTTGAATCAAATTTTGTAAGAAACTTTATTATACACACCAGCTCCAATAATATTCTATATGCATCTCTCACTTGCTCTAGAGCAACGCCACAATCATCCAGAGTAACGGCACGACCCTACAGTAACAAATACACGACAAATGTAAGCGAATCTAATCAAAAAGTATCGTAGATAGCATAGTAGATGAACGAAGCTTACATTGCTAAAACTCTCATTTAAAGAATACCAATTGGAATAAGTTTTATGTATGGTTTGTTCTAATGTCTCATAGTTTCCGCTGCTCCGACAAGTGCTTATCATTGAACGAAGTCGATCCAGAGTCAACGATGTTGCTGGATCGCCTATTAATGTTTCTCAAAAAATAAGAATCAAAAGAGAAAGTGGATTCCCTGCTAAATCTTTCTTCAATTAATAATACCCTTTTGTTGCGTAGGCTTGTGATCATTGATGGTTTGACAGACTGTACATCGAAAACAAGAGACGGAAACTGGAAATCGTAAATTGCTTTAAATTAATTTTTGATAGGTAAAAATTAAGAATTAGCCTTTGCAATATCTATAATTTTGGGACCATAAGAATATATACAACAAAATTTGAGCTTGATACCTATTACAACACATGCATTTTCCAACCATCTGCAATATGACAAATGCGTTAAAATTTAAAAAAAATTTGCTAATAAAACTTCAAACAAGAGGCATTACGTCACGCACCATGGTCACGTTAGACGTTGGAGAAGAATGTCCGTTCTGACCAGGGGCAACATCAAGGCTTACATGATTAGCAGGTAAAGGTCCAGTGACCGCCACGCTGGAGCCAGCTAGACTAGTTGGTCGAGAGAGACTCGATGTAGTCGTCGTGAGATCATTTGGTGTTGAATTTGGACGTGAGGTAAGGTTGCCTGGGTGACTCATGTTTCACGCAGTGTTGCTGTTGTAGTAGAAGTAGTAGAGGTAACAGTAGCAGCAACGGTATACCTCAAACGAGGTATTCACTCTTGGCAACGATCGTCCGAGTATATATTGTTTGAGCGCAAAGTTGTTTCAAGTCCAAGTATTTGAAAAAATGTAAGTTGATTAAAAAGAATACCAAACAGTCGAAATGTGCTCTATAGATAGGCTATTAAAGCAAAATGGGCAAAATATGAAAAAAAAGCTCGAAGCCAATACAACTTTTGAGAAAGTAACTGGTTATGGACTTTTTGGGTATAGGACTGCATATGATGAAATGTGTTTGAACAAACTTTTGTTTCACAAGTTTCCCGAATTAGAGAAAGTCGTGGTGTAGTGTGAATCACATGATATTAGTCGAAAACTTTATCGCTACGTTAGTAACAATAGTAACAAACAAACAGATGATTAAAACGCGATTACTTGTAATCATTCGGAACGACAACCCAGCAGTTACGATTGAGTGGGAGTGTGTGACTGGTGGAAGTGTCGTTATTGTCTCGGCGTACTCCGGGATACGTGCCACACTCACTTTCGGGGAAGTGACAACAGTACACCACATACTTCTGCCTCCATGGTTGCCTTCTCAGAAATTGCCCGTGTAATGAAGACTGTTCCAATTGCTAAAACACAAATAACCCCAAGCTACGATTCAATATCGGTGTTCCAGAAGCTCCCTCACACCTTTTATCCGTGTCAATACTCCGAGAAGCCAATACATACTTTTTATCTATAACATTTAAATAACAGGTCCTATTATCAATGCCAATGTTTTTGGCAAGCAAGTGAGATTAACAGTCTGGATCGATCCGGCCTTTACCAGACGTTCTTTTTCCATTTGACAAAGCACCGTGAACATGCCGAGTTCTAATGTATTATATAAGCGTGTCAACGCCTTTCGGACGGTTCTGAGAGTGCATTGGAAGTGGTAACATCTGTTTCGCATTGACGGTGTCAATCGTTGCGTACGTTTTGGTGAAACTGCAAGTATCAAGCGTAACAATCTCTGCTTCGCGTCATGAATAATGGATAGCGATGTTCGCTTTTGACAGACGAACGACGAGAGGGTTCCAGCCAGATTGTCAGTGATGACTCAACTTGGAGAAAAGGCGAGTAGTAGTACGAAGCACGAAAGGTATGATCGTATTTGGGAGGCCGGACCATAGGACAAACTTTGATGACCGATAACCCATTCACTCATAAAAAAAAAATGGTCTTTACGACCTTCAATGGAATAAACCAGCTTACTTCAATTACTTTTCACAATAAAGGATGCTCGGTTCGAGGACACTTAAGAAAGCTCAAATGCATTCGTGAAAAATTATCGGAAGCAAGTTGGTTCATTCCATATGGCGTTCGTGAAGACCGTTTTTCTGATGTCTAGTTAGTGAGTTCCCTTTCGACATGACTTTGCCAAGAGCTCTTGACAAGAATGACAATCAGTCAAAATTCTGTTTTCCAAGCTCGATTCGAGCACTAAGGAAGCTCATCGTATCGATCGCTTCCTGCAACGGGTACAAGATCTCATCAACTGTTTGAATGTACGATCAATGCTTGGAAAACGGGATGCCGGGAAGAAACCGTGTATAGTGAAATTATTACATTCCGTCCATATCAGCACGAGAAAGTTAAATATCTACGCATACACTTGTTATTATTAATCTATATAAATGTAACTTGAACAATTACACAAATTAAATAAACTTGGTCTAAAAACAAACAAATGGCGAAAGCCACAATCCTAAAAAAAAAGAGGCTTAATTGATGCTCTTTACAAATCACATATTTAAATTGTTTAAAGAAATTTTGTATGCATTTTCTTGATTAAGGTCAATTTGAAATCATGGCAAATAAAACAGAAATTAGATACTGTTATTACTTTATTGCTGGTTAATTGCAATTTAAATGTAAAATTACAAATTTTCAATTGTTCAGATTCTTATTTTTTATCACGTGATTGGCGATTATAGATTTCCGGCTCCATATTAAAAAAATATAAATTGTTCATTATATTTTTATATAAAGATTTTGTTTTGTTCAAAAAAAAAGCATTAGCTATAATAATCTAATGCTAATTAATATATCACATGATATGATAAACGAAATTAATAATGATCACGATAAGCATAATTGTAGATTCGTAAAACAATGACAGATCCAAACTTGGAAAAGGTATCTAAAGAGATAGCCGAGCACTTTAACTTATCAATTAATAGGACTGAAGATGTAAATATCTATCAAAGTTTCTTTGATTTTTACTACGATAATAGATGAAAAGCAAAACCGATTTTTTTTAGCTTAAAGAAATCAAAAACAGTATCGAAAATGTTAATAATCAAATGGAAGAGATTAAAGAGTCGTTACATTTTGTAAGTATTGAAAGACTTGGTTGTTTTTGATCTGGGATCGAGGCATCAATAGTTTAACGATGACGCCTGGTAACCTGCGGCGAGCATTTTAGGTACGCCAAGACGTAGATAAACGTTCAGAAGTCGCTTCAAAAGAATTATCCGATGCGGCTGATCAATTGGAAAATTTATTTGCAAAGATTGATTCGTTGGAGGTTTAGTTTCTCTTGCTTTCTTTCTAAAAGAAAAACTTTGTTCTTTAATACAAATCTAAAGTTAATTACTGATTTAATTATATTTAGGCATTTGTGAATATTGTAAAGAAATCAGTCAACGATGTAACAGATCGCGTGGATGAAACTGAACGTCTAGTAACGAATCCGATCAATCGTGTATGGGACACTATAAAAATGGTAAACGGTAGTTTTAATTTTTATTTAATTACTAAAAGATACCTTTTAACTAATTATGATGAGCTTTAGAATACCACAAAGTCAATCGACACTGTTGATCTGAATCTTCCTCGGATGAAACCGTTGAAGATATATAACACCAAAGATTATTTTCCGACCCCTTCGATAACTAATATCGACGAAGTAGCAGAACGAGAAGCAGCACTACAATAACAACTCTAACACTGCATTTAGTACCCCTTTGAGATAGCCCCAATTGTGTTGATAAGCAATTTGCGGCTTGGTTTTATGAATAACGGGGTAATTTTATGTTTAATTGCAAAGTATCTCCAATTTTCATATATCTCTCTCCGGGGTACTGGTGCTAGTGTTCCAGGTTTGTAAAGCTTAATAAGAAATCTGCCACAAAATGTGTAAATTTCCTTTTTCGGCTAATAATACATGTATTTGATTTTCCGGATATTAAAAAAAAAAACGGTAGCGTTGCATAAGATGTATAACGATAGTAACGGATGCAGGGTTTTTTAGAATTGTATGCCTTTTATCCAATAGAGTTTAGTATACTTTAACCAAGCAATCTGTAGTAATAATTAAGCTTTTCGTACTCGCGCAAAAAAACTTGTTCATAAAACACTGACAGAAAACAATAGATTAAAAGAAGACGAAAAAAAAAATGTCGACAGCAGCCGAATCCGACAAAACACTCGACATAATCAAAACAATCGAAAAGAATAGTATCGACACCGATAATCACACTACCGAATCCGACAAAACCATAAGAAAAGTCGAAAAGGATAATATTGACACTGACAAGCACACCGCTGAATCCGACAAGATATTCGCGATAAGCCTAAACAACACAACCGAAAAGAATAATAACAATGACACAAGTACAGACGCAGACATTAATAATGACAAAGACCACCTCGATCGTATTATTTCGGAAAGAAATTCAAAACTGACTACTGGAGATCACGGCGAACTAGAAAACCACGACGCGGAACATCAGCAGAGTAAATTCAGGATTTTGTTTAGTCTGTTGAAAAAGTTTATTGGTGTAAAAGATATCGTGTCATTGTACGTGTAGTTGCATCATTTTGATATCATTCATTATCATTAATGGTAACGGTTGTTTTTGCGCGGGGTTTAGACGCATTTCACTTCCTGCACAACTTATCGAACCTATTGGTAATTTGGAGTACTGGAATTATAATGATCGGCCTGATTATTTTTTATGGTAAAACGGTAAACAAAGATTTTCGTTTTGAAAATCGAAACGTGAATTAATAGTTAATTTAATTTAATTTAAAGTATTGACGACTCGGATGATCCTTTGGAAAGAATGTTTGCCGCCATACGTTGGTGGTATTCAAAAGATTTAAAGTTTGTGGTTAGTAAATGATTCATTTTTTTTTTAACTGAAACAAAAAGTTAATCGCGATATCATTGATATTAACGAATGATATAAAAAAACAATAGAAAGGAAAACTAATAAAACCGTATAATTCCATTCTCGGAGAACAATTCTTGTGTCATTGGGAAGTCACGTCACCGAAATTCAATAAGAACGGAGAAATCGATCCAATCGAACAAGCAACCGGTTCGAGTAACGAGAAAAAATATCGCGTAACATGTTTGAATGAACAAATCTCGCATCATCCACCAGTATCTGCGTTTCATTATCATTGTCCTGAAAAGGGTGTTATCGCAAGAGGAATTGATCATATCGCTGCAAAGTTCACGGGAACCTGCAAGTCATCTCATGATTTTTTATATTCTAATTTTAGTTTGTATTCATAACAAATAATGATCATAATTAATACTCGACCAAAATAGCCGTTAAATTTGCTCCTGGTGATCAGAACAAGGGAGTCTACCTTACACTGGAGAAACGCGACAACGAAGAATACTCAATGACACATCCAACCGCTTTGCTACAAGGATGGTTAAAAGGTTCTTTGTATGTTGTTGTGTGTGACTATTGCATTATTGCATGTCCAAAAACTAAATTGAAAGCCATATTAGAGTATAAAGAAGAGGTAATTTTTTTTCCTTATTCAATGTTTGTATTATTTACGTAAAGATATGCTCATAATTTCATAATGAATTCTATAGCGATGGTTAGGAAAACCAAGATTTGCTATCGAAGGTAAAATATTTAAATACGATCCAGAAAACGACGACATAATAAAGTTGAAAAATGTCAACGAGGCAGATGTGGTTGCTGAATTGATTGGTAGCTGGCGTGGACAAATAAAAGTCACCCGTGTTGACACAAACGTAAATTGCTTTCTATTATCAATCAATTCATCCATGACATTACATCATCTCTAATTTTCATTTTTCGAATAATCAGCAACAAAAATTACTATTAGACATGGACCCAATAGATCCGATTCCAAAAAAAGTAAAACCACTATCAAAACAAGGTCCACTAGAATCACGTAAAGTATGGCAACCAGTCACCACCGCACTCCTAAAAAGAGACTACTCACTCGCCACCAAAGAAAAACAAAGTATCGAAGAACGACAACGGCAAATCGCTGCCGAGTTGAAAGCGAAAAAGGAAGAACATGTGCCTGTGTATTTCCATGTGCCGGTTGTCGCTGGGAAACCTGAATTGAAGGAGGCTGCGTTGGAGCTTTTGAAGGCAGAGATTACGAGAAATTCTTGATTTCCTTTTTTATTACTAACTTTTTGTATTATATGATTTTTTCTGGTATATTTATTCAGTACAAAGTTTCTATTAGCAGTCTTATGTAGAATCTACAGCGGTCTGTGTAGAAGAAGAGTTGCAATTTATCGGAATCATCACTTTCAATTGATTAAATACTTGTTTAATCATTCCCAATAGAATCTGATTTCTATTCTAAACATCAAAATTATACCTCCTCTTGAAATTAAATTATAACGATGTAATTCTACTTACCTATTTAAAATTCTCAATCTAAAATTGCATTAAAGTTCATAAATTCATGAATGAAATAAATATTATATTTACAGCGAGAAGAATAAATCAGAGAAAGTGTCGTTTCGAATTGTATAGATATCATGGCAAATCTATTCCTAGACAAATAGCAAGTATAAATAAATACCATTTTGTAGCTGACGATAGTCAACTCCACAATACTTACTAAATAATATATACATTAAATTTCTATTGTGCTTTCTTCACTCCCTTCTTCCCACTTTTTATCATGACCAACGCCACGAACGTAAACACTACCGTCAGACCAACCAGTAATAATACAACGGGTATACGAATCGCATATATACGATCAGGAAAGAACTCGTGTAGTGGATGGCCTTCATCCACAAATGGCTGTTATCATTATTGATATAAACATCATTTTTGAACAATTAATTAATGTTATACTAAAATCTCGATTGAGTAAAATTTTATTTTTGGATACTGAACCATTATTAGCGCCCATATCGTATAGTAGACGAATAACACCACCGATATGATTAGTAGTGTCCCGCCCACGGCCCGATCTTTTCCAGCTGATCCCTTTAAGTTCAAGAAAATCCAAATTTTTAATTACGAGCGATTAGTAAATTCACGCTTCAAAAGACACTTGTTTAAACTGAAACTAGCATACTTATAATTAATAAACAAAACTTACCATTTTGTTATATTCTAATTTCGGTTGCAAGTTGCAATAAATATAGCTCTTTTAAAAGTAAATCAAAGTCCAACCAATACGTATCGGTATATCGAAGGAAGTTTATTAAATAAATAACTTGATCGGTGAAACAAAAAACCTGTGACATGAACAGATCGAAGATAAACTTCGCACAACAAAATTAAACTCTAGTCAAACATGTTTCTTCATAAAACCTCGACCATCTTGCAATCACTTTTAAGGCAACATAACAACAAAAGCAACTATATTGGAGCAAGAAATTATGTATCAGCCCTAAAGAAAATTCCTCGAAAAATAGGGCTGGGGTCATTAAGCGACAACCCGAAAGCTACACGACAGGTACTTTCGCATCAGAAATATATAAACTATTTTACACGGAATATATCATTTGGATTTTCGTGAAAATACAGTTTCAAAATAACAAACACAAAAAACAGAGAAGAATCTTCTTGTATAAAATATATGCTTTGTTCGAAAAAGCGTCGCCGTGTAGGTCGAGGTCCTGCGTCTGGTAGAGGCAAAACCTGTGGGGCTGGTGTTAAAGGTCAAAAAGCTCGTAGTGGTAACACGAAACCTAGACGAGATTTCGAAGGTGGACAAACCCCCATTACTAGGCTTTTCCCAAAGCAGAACGCTGATGTGTAAGTAGTTTGCTTATTCTATATAATACAAAGGATTCATTCTAACAAATTTATAGTGTTAAAAAGGAATTGTCGACACTCGAAATTGATCGTCTTCAGCATTGGATCGATCGAGGTCTCATTGACCCGAATCATGTCATTACTACGAAACAACTTGCTGACACACGATGTGTACGTGGGGTTAGGAAGGATGGAATTTTGCTATTAGGAAAAGTATGAATTTTATTTTTTGATTTGTTTTACTTTGATCTCCTATTTAAATAAACCCTAATAAAAAATAACAATAATAATAGGGAGCTCAATATTTTAAAACCCCGATCACGATAGAAATTTCACGCGCTGCCCCGTCTGCTATAAGAGCTATAGAACAAGTCGGCGGACATATCACGTGTCGTTACTACAATAGACTTGCGCTTCGTGTAGTTCTTCATCCGGAAAAATTTTGGAGGATACCGAAATTTGCATTGCCTCTTAGGCAAAAGGATATTGGTGAGAACTATATTCAATTATTATTATTTCTGTCCATTCGATTGATTACTTTTTTTGATTGTGCGCTTTTATTATTCAGACTATTATACTAATCCGAGAAACAGAGGATATCTTGCTGATCCAAAAGAACTAGAGCGATTGAGACAAAAAAACATAAATGCTGCAATTGCGAGGTTCAATGCAACTAAAAATCAAGCGAACAACAATAGTAACACATCGACACGTCATCCTAAATATGAACTATTATAATGTTACATATTTTGATAGTTGTTACACAAACCGACTAATAAAATATTTATTATATAATCATAATAATAAAATAATAAATAATACAAGAAATAGTAAAATAAGAATACTGCAAGCAAATGTTTGGACAATTATATTTTCTTCTTTTTGCGCTTCTTTGCTGCGCCTTCTTCCTTCAATTCTTGTAATTGACGACGTCGTGCTTCCTCACTTTCTTGTGGATTGTTATTATTTTCATTATTCTATGTAAATTATGAAAAATATAATTAAATTGACTTCAAATAGAATATATCAATAATAAAAACGATTGTTATTCAAAGAACATACCGTTTCAGCCGTTTTTTGCTGAGGTGTAACAGAATCAATTTTGGCTTTAGGCGATGACAATCTTCTGGTCTCTGCTGCTGTAGAGTTTCCCGGTTTAGATATATTGGTAGCGGCAGAAGTACTCGAAGTAGCAGTAGCAGCCTCTACACTTGACGAAACATCCCGTTGAGGTTTAGTCACATGGGCAGCTTTAGCCTTTTCTTTTTTCGGCGTTCTAAATAATTCATCATCGACAGTGTCATTCTCGTTCTGTCCAGCAGCTGGTAATGAAGGAGGATTTGACGGCGTTTCGAAATGAAGAGACTTCTTCCGCTTCGACTCTTCCTCCTTTTTATATTCTTCAATGACGCGTTCTGTTGCTTTTGTAAAGAGATGCGAGGTACGCGAGTCGCTTAAATTTTCTAGTGGGACTTGTCCGGTGGATATTTTGGAACTTTGCAATCTCTGTCGTATATAACATTTTTTGTCAGATTAATTTTCAATTAATTATAATAATCATGTTTGGAAGCGTAATCATTTACCGTTTCTATTACTTGGAAAGTATTCTCGACATCAAAAGGCGTACGAGGCTTTTTCTCTAATAATCAAATTCTCTCGTAAATCACCAATACCGAAAATTGACATTCCATTAAAGCAAACAAATTCAAAATACACACTCGAAGAATTTTTTTCATTCTGCTGTCCCTTCAAAGAATCCAACTCCTTCAACTCATCATCCTGCTGCTTTACCACCCCAATCAACGTCTTTATCTGCTCAAAGTACGCATCCAACACCATCCGCTGCGGCAAAACATAATGTCGATACAATATAGACGCGCCGTCTAGATCGTATTCTTCGTCTCCGTCGTGCAACGTGTGCGCATTTGGGATCAATTTACATCGGAAATTCCAAAATAGTTCGCCCCATTTGAGAGTTCGCGTGGATTTGAGTTCGAGCTAATTTGGAATTTAGAGATGCTTGTGTAACATCCTTTTGTTACTAAAAACGCGCGAGATTAATAATACCTCTTCGTTGGTTTTTCGCAATACATGTGTTAGATTTGGTAGGTTTTTCAAGAAACTAGGTAATGATTTCAACAGGCTTTCTAAATCATCGGAGTCTAAGCCAGACTTGGTGTCCTATACAAGACAAGTACAAAATTTAATTCTCACGAATTCAAAATTAAACCAATTAGCATTCACAAAAAGCAAGTGAAAAAATAACGTACTTTACACCGTTTCTTGATATCATCGCCAATTAACTCTTCAAGCCACACGTATCTGAGATTAGTTATCAGGACAAGATACCTATCTGTGCTAAAATACGACTTTACAAGGAATGTAGTATTAGCGGCAGCTGTATCTTCTCCATTGGTTGTTTTTGAGGAGGTCACTGTAGTTGCTGTAGAGGGTATCAAGTCACCACTACTGGTCGTTACTGTCGCTGTTGATTTTGAGGTAATGCTTAAGGTAACCCAACTAACAGTACTTAGTATTTCGTCGTGCTCTTTTGTGAATAAAGCCATTTATTAATGTTAACGTTAAGGGATTTAGTGAGATGTTTATACAATGAAGATTAAATCACATGAGGATCGAATTTATTGATTATCAATTAATCTAGTCAATCTGGACACAATCCGGAAGATCGACCTTCGAGACAAATCCCGGAAAATTTGTATATACCAGGTTTATTCACCGGAACCAATTATAAACAATAGTAAATAAACAAAAAATGGTAAATAAACAAAAAAATAGTAAATAAACAAAAAACATATATATATATATTCGCGTTCACGCGAACATTTATAATGCTACCAAATTTATTCTTATCACAAAATAATAAATACACTTTATGTTTATTTTTTTATTCTTACACTTATTCCTTTATTAATTCTTATCACAAAATACACTTTTGCTCTTTATTATATTTATTGCACAAGGCCTGAAGAACCCAACTGGCATACACCATTCGGTAAATACACAGAGGCGTGTCTTGTGCGAGTATTACGAACATTCTACCAGAATTCTGATTTTAACATTTTTCATTTCTCCCGGTTCATAGGTTAAGTAAACTTTTTATTGAATATCGTCTTCGAGTTCCGACGGGAATATTATATGTTAGTCGGGTAGATTTTTATTAACGCTTTTTGGCATTGACAATAAGCCCACTGAGTGTGGTCTACCAGTTGACCTCTATAATTCCGTTGGTCGAAAACAATGACTTTATTCGGTAATCGGTTACCCTTATGGTCTAGCCACTGGGTGGTATCCCTCTCGGTCTTGCGGAAATCTGTCCTGGTTATGACGCTAAACTAAATCCTATCGGATATTGTCCTTTTGTCTGTGTCGTGAAGCAGTCGTTTTATCGGATATTGTTTTCGAATTCTGACGGGAGTATTATGTGCTGGTATTGGAATAAGCCCACTCACTAAGCGTGGTCTACCAGTTGACCACCATGATTTCGTTGGTCGAATGTATTGACTTTATTCGGTAATTGATTACTCTTTGCGGCTTAGCCACTGGGTGGTATTCCTTTCGGTCTCGCAGCAATCCGTCCTGGTTATGACATTAAACTAAACCCTGTCGGATAGTGTCCCGTTGTCTGTGTCGTGAAGCAGTCATTCAATTGGGTTCCTACTAGTTCTCAATTGGATTCGGTAGGCGATTTTCAAGGGTTCCTTAGAAATTCGAGTTCTTTTGAGACTTAACATCTGGCTGGGCATTTGTTTATCCGGGTGAGATTTCCAAAGGGATTCGTTTTTCATAGGTTAAGTAGCTTTTTACTGGATATCGTCTTCGAGTTCTGACGGGAATATTTTATGTTAGTCGGGTAGACTTTTAACGCTTTTTGGCATTGACAATAAGCCCACTGAGTGTGGTCTATCAGTTAACCTCTATGATTCCGTTGGTCGTATTTAGTGACTTTATTCGGTGATTGGTTACCCTTTGCGGCCTAGCCACTGGGTGGCATCTTCTCAGTCTTTTTGGCTGATTATGGCGAGGGTTCGATTCCCTTCTAGGTCGGACAGCTTCTAGAACTTAACGTTGTCATCTAGCTCTACGTAAAAAAGAGTGCAATTGCGATAATGATATATTGGATAAGAAGGTGTTAGTATTAAATCATGCTTTTTCGACCGACAACACTTATTCTTCGAATAATCTTAGTCTAATTTATAGGGATCTAGGATAAGATTACCCTTATTTTTAAGGATAATTAGTAAAAACATCGTTATATCAAGTTTATTCAATCAGTATATCGAGATTTGACCAAAGAATTTCAAAGTAGACGACGCAACCAATCTAAAAATAATTAAACCTAATTTCTTTTATAATTTAAATCATTGAAAACTAGAAATAGAAATTTCCAAAATTCAATATCGATATTGACACTTTTAAATTAATTCTTTAGTCAATTTCAAAAATATACAAAATAATTCTTAAGAATTTATAATAATCTAATTTGAAAGGTTAACTATTTTTCTTTTAAAGCAGTCTCAAGTTCTTTAGATTATCAAGTAACTTTTATATATGTTTCTAAATTATTTTAATTATGAATAAAAAAAACATTATTTTCTAACAAAACATGTAATATAAAATTTTAACAAAAATGAGTATTTATTACATATCGATATATTAAACCAGGCATATTGGGCTGAACTTTTTAACGGGAAACCTTGGTTAAAGATTATATATGGTGCATAAAATCTAAAGTCATCAAACGTTTGTATTTTATAAAATGGATCAACTTCTTTACTAAGAAGTAAATACAAAATTTAATCCGTGAA